ACCAACAATGTAGGAGGGTTCCCTTTTCTCCACAACCTCTCCAGCATTTATTTGGCAGTTTCTTACAAAGTTAAACAAACGCTCATCATATGAACCACTCCTAGGTATTTATCCCAGAGAAATGAAAACTTATTGGTTCAGCCACTCTGGGAATCAGTATGGAGTTTCCTCAAAAAATTAAAGATAGAGCTACCCTACAATCTAGCAATCCCACTTCTGGGTATTTATCCAAAGGAAATGAAACAGGTTACCAAAGAGACATATACACCCCATGTTTATTGCAGCATTATTCACAAGATCCAAGATATAGAAACAACCTAAGTGTTCGTCCATATCATGTGATACTACTCAGCGATGAAAAGGAACAAACAACACATGCAACAACTTGCGTGAATGTCAAAGACATTATGCAGAAAGAAGCCAGTCTCAAAAAGTTACCTACTTTATGATTCTCTTTATTTGACATTCTCAGAAATATAAAACTATAGGGTTGAAGAACTGATCAGTGGTTGCTAGGATTAAGGGTAGGGGAGGGTGTGACAACAAAGATTTAGCACAAGGGAGTTTTGAGGGGTGGTAGAATTACTCTGGATCCTGATCATGACATTGGTTATAGAAATTTATACGTGTTAATATCCATAGAGCTGCACACCAAAAGAAAAAATAGTCAATTTACTGTATGACAGTTTTAAAAAGAAAACATGATGTTAGAAATATGACGTATTAGAAATATGTCGTTTAGAGGAAATCAACTTTATTTAATGGGAAAGCCAAACAAATCACTTTGGACCTAGAACAGTTTTTTGTTCTGTGCTGAAAAATTATTTCATTCTGTGCCTAAAGGAAAGCAGAATTAAGATGTCACAAGTTAGGGACCTCCCTGGTGGCGCAGTGGTTAAGTATCCACCTGCCAATGCAGGGGACAGGGGTTTAAGCCCTGGTCTGGGAAGATCCCACATGCCGTGCAGCAACTAAGCCTGTGTGCCACAACTACTGAGCCTGTGCTCTAGAGCCCGTGAGCCACAACTACTGAAGCCTATGCGCCTAGAGCCCGTGCTCCGCAACAAGAGAAGCCACTGCAATAAGAAGCCTGCACACCACAACGAAGAGTAGCCCCCACCCACCGCAACTACAGAAAGCCCATGAGCAGCAGCTTTGACCCAATGCAGCCAAAAATAAAAAATAAATTTATAAAAAAAAAAAAGATGTCGCAAGTTAGGAAAGCTCATATCTCACTATGAGCTCTGTCATAAATGATAAATTTCTCTTATATGTTTTCCTGCCATTCACTGTGTCAATAGGTATGGGGCTCTTGTCAAATTGTTTCCTACAGAGCCTCTCTTTCCCCATCTGAAATGGAAATCTCTCCTTGGATTTCCATCTATGGATGTCATGTCAAGGTTTGTGAAACATGTCTAAGTCATTGTGGGAAGTCACAGAACAAGGCTGACATGGGAGATAGTTCCTTGTGCATCCTTTTTGTTAAGCATTCCAGATCGAAGTGAACTTCACCTCAGTTTTTTTTTTCTTCCTTCTTTCACACATACTCTAGAAACTCAATACTTCCCTTGATTTGGCATAGCTGTCTAAAATGTGCTGTCTCCACCTGGTTGCTGTTTACGAAGAGCTTGAAATAGCATCTGACAATTTTTCTTAAACTAAACCACATCGTGAAGCTTTGTTTCCTCCACAGCTTCAAACTAAGGGGGTGGCAGTAGGGATGGGACATTTACGGGACACCTAAAGAGGGGTCCTACACAGACCTTGAAAACCTATTCAACGCAGCGGGGAGGGAGGTTAGGGAGGTGTAAAGGAGACAGAATCAGATGAGTTTGAGGTTTCCTTTTTCTGTGTGAGTGGCCAGCAATGCTGTTATCTGGATTAGGTCACACAGGGAAAAAAATAGGCAGAGAATGATAAAAGATTTGAGAGGAAAGATACGTATCTATATTTACCAGCTTATTTATTTTTAAAAGTTTGCACAGCTGCTTTAATCTCTAAATGTTGTGTTTGTTAAAGGATTTCAAGTTTGTTCCAGAGGCAATGCGGTTTTTAACACAAAAGGAATGAATCCTTGGGGCAGTAGATTTGAAGTGAGCAAGGAGACATGACATTTAACAGAGAAAACCAAGTTGGACTTGAAGTCATGGAAAATTAAGAATGCAAAGTTCTTCTGATGGTCCCTGAAATACAGGACAGGGAACACTTAGAACCTGTTGTCGCGTTCCCTGTGGTAGGGAAGCTATTTTTTTATATATATATATATAGTTTTTTAAAATATATATAGTTATAGTATATGACTATACTATATACTATAGTATATAACTATGTATAGTTAACTTACAAACTAACACAATGTTGTGTTGGTTTCAGGTATATAGCAAAGCGATTCAGTTATATGTACACATATATATGTTTTCCCTTATAGCTTATTACAAAATATTGAGTAGTGTTCCCTGTGCTATACAGTAGGTCCATGTTGATTATCTATTTTAAATACAGTAGTGTGTATCTGTTAATCCCAGTAGGGAAGCTTTTAAAGAAGGAAGTCACGTCTCCTCATACATGGTGAATTTGGTGAAGTTGGTCCTCCTGGTGGCAAAATTCCAGGAAGCCAGACCCTTCCTGATCAGATGATGTGGTTTCCTAAGGGACATAAAAATAGTCCTCTCCCCATGGAAAGGGTTAAGAATGGAAGCCAAGGACCCTCCCACACAACGGAGTGCAGCTGTCAATGTGGCCAACAGAAGTATAACATGTGCAAAAGCAGTTCTGGGAGAATGTAGGACAAGGTAGCTGCAGAAGCAGCAGAGTGGGGAGAGCACAGGAGATGCAGTCGGGCGGAGGGCGGAAACGGTGCAAGAAGAGCAGCAGGTAATCAGGAAGTAGAGGAGAGGAAAGCAAGCGCAGGTGAGGGAATTTAGAAGGTTATGCAGAGAAGGTAGCAAAGCCATATTAGACACAGACTCGAAGCAAACTGGGTGACCCTAAAGTCTGCCTATACATTTCCACAGAAAGATAAAAGGTGGGCAAGAATCAACAGATAACAAAAGTACAAAGTGTTTGCCTTCACCCACTGGATGAGCTTGTGAACAGACCACCACACTGCCAGGTGCAGAGGGTCCAGCGGCTCTCAGTGGGAGCCAGGATCCCCTCTGCCTGGCTACCCCAGGACAAATTCAACTTTTAGAAGGTAGTCCCAGGTCCTGGGCATAACTTGCTGCCTTTTAGAGTTAAATTTCATAAGCCGATGGAAAGAATTCATACTGTATGTATTCCTGAAATATAAAATATAGTCTACACCAGCAGGTTTTAGTTCAGGAAACATTATGGTTTCATAGGCTATTGCCTGATCTTCTAGGAGTTAAAAAAATCTAACAGCAGATATTTATAATCTGTCATGATCTTTCTTTCTTACAACCTCATAAGGGAATACCAATTATTAAATATAGAAAACAACTTAAAGTTACTGGTATTCTTCAGATGATTTAATGACCTCTTGTCCCTGAAGCAAACCATCTGATAATCTGAACTTAATTTTTTGTCTTTTTTAAAATTTATTTCATTGAAGTATAGTTGATTTACAATGTTGTGTTAATTTCTTCTTACAGCAAATTGATTCAATTATATATATTCTTTTCCATTATGGTTTATCCAGGATATTGGATGTAGTTCCCTGTGCTATATAGTAGGACCTTGTTTATCCATCCTATATATAACAGTTTGCATCTGCTAATCCCAAACTCGCAATCCATCCCTCCCCCACCCTCCCTCCCCTTTGGCAACCACAAGTCTGTTCCCTATGTCTGTTGGTCTGCTTCTCTTTCATAGATAAGTTCATTTGTGTCATAATTAGATTCCACATATAAGTGGTATCATACGGTATTCGTCTTTCTCAGTCTGATTTACTTAACTTAGTTATGATATTCTGTAGATCCATCCATGTTGCTGTAAATGGGCTTATTTCATTATTTTCATGGCTGAGTAATGTTCCATTGTATATATATATATACACCACATCTTCTTTATCCATTCCTCTCTTGGTGGACATTTAGGTTGCTTCCATGTCTTGGCTATTGTGAATAGTGCTGCTGTGAACATAGGGGTCCTTTCAAAATACAGTTTTCCCTGGATACATGCCCAGGAGTGGGATTGCTGGATCATATGGCAACTCTACTTTTAGTTTTTTGAGGACCCTCCATACTGTTTTCCATAGTGGCTGCACCAATTTACATTCCCACCAAGAGTGTAGGAGGGTTCCCGTTTCTCCACACACTCTCCAGCATTTATTGTTTGTATATTTTTTGATGATAGGCATTCTGACTGGCATGAGATGCTATCTCACTATAGTTTTGATTTGCATTTCTCTAATAATTAGCAATGAATCTGAACTTATTAAAAATTCATTTTCCAAATTCCCTGAACTTCAAATAAGGATGTTATTGTATTTATTTTGTCATGATAACCATTATTGCTAACAGCTATACTCAAAACTCAAAAACCTAACTGTAGTGTCTCCCTTTATCATCAGAGGCAATGTGATGTACCAGATGAGAGACCAGAGCTGGTGCCCCTGCTGGTGCCACACTCTTTGCCAGCTGTGCGTCCGTAGGCAAATTACTTACCCCCTCCGTGACTTGATTTCCTCATCTGTAAAATGGGGATGGTGATAATAGTGCCTTCTTCATAGGTCTGTTGTGAGGGTTAAACAAGCCTAGAATAGGGCCTCAGTGAGTACGTATTAATGAATACATAAGGCATTTAGAGCAATGAACAGTAAATAGCACCATATGCGTTAACCATATTTCTATTATTTTCTGATGCTCCTCACTGTAATTTTCAGTAGCTATATTAGGAGATTGTGAAGTTTAAAAATATGCCCGAATCAGCCCATGATTCCCAAAAGCCTGCAAAATCATACAGCAACAATAACATTATATTTTTGGTTTTAATCCTTAGTTCATCTCAGTGTAATAAACCTATCCCTTTGTATCCGCCAGAGTTGAAAATATGTCCATGAGGTTGGAAGAAATCAACGAAAGAGAAAACTTTATGAAAACTTCCCTGCAGACTGTTGACCTTCGCCTTTCCCAACTGGAAGAACTATCTAGCAGAATGGTGAATGCGCTGGAAAACCTCGCAGGAATCGACAAGTCCGACCTGATGCAGACCCAGTCCCGGGCTTCTTCTGAATGCGATGCAACGTACCTTCTAAGGCAAAGCAGCATCAACAGTGCCGATGGCTACAGCATGTACAGGTATCTTTTCAATGGGGAGGAGTTGTTGTATGAGGATACTTCCCTCTGCATGCCACCAGGGACGGGGGTCAGGAAAAAAGTTGGTTCCTTCCATGTGAAGGAAGAGAAGGACCAAAGAACACACCTGGTCCCAGAGCGTCAGGGCAGCCTTCGCCTGCCACCCAGCACGAGTACGCCAGCATCCCCAGACGGCGATCGACTTGCATCTGACAACGTGAAGAGCACCTCAGAGCCGAAATTAGGTCCAGATGTTGGGATTTCAGCTGAAGACAATGAAAGGCAGGCAGACTCTAAGAGAGGAGAAATGAGCTCCCCAAGTTTCAGTCAAACAGATGTTACGCACGGACAGAACAAGTCGGATTTTCAAAGCACTCAGCTAACAGTGGAAACAACAAAGATAGAAGGCACCATTTCTTATCCCCTGGAAGAAACAAAAGTGACCCGTTATTACCCTGATGAGACGTTCAGTGCTTGTAAAGCAATGAAGTCCAGAAGCTTTGTATATTCCCGGGGAAGAAAGCTGGTCGGCGGGGTTAACAAGTGGAGTGCAGCTGGGGACCAAACATGCCCCTCCACGGTTCAGCGATGGACCACAGAATGGAGGTATCAAGTTCAAAAGATTATGCGTTCTCAGAGCACGGATATCCCTTCCTTTGGGTCTGAAACGGCAGTGCAGGCTGAGCATCAAGGGCATTTCACAGACACCGAATATGAAAACTGTGTTTCTGAAACAGGCCCTCAGATCTCCCGTTTGTCACTAGCTGTTACTGACAGAACTGACAAGGAAAACTTACTGTCCGTGAAAACACACCAAACTTTGGGATTCCCATCTTTAAGGTCAAAAAGTTTACATGGCCATCCTAGGAATGCTAAACCCATTCAGGGCACCTTAGACAGATCTAGACATGCCAGCAGTGTAAGTAACTTAGCAGTTGGGTCCAGAATTACAACGGAAGACCTGAAAGTTAAGCGAGAGAAAAATTCCTCAGAAACTGAGTGCTAATGAGTTTTGTTTCTTTGATTTTTCATTCAGAACAACTGATGAGTCCCATCTTGGTCATCTAAACATCATCCATTTCTGAAATCATTTTCATTAAAAACGTTTGACAATTTGGACTTATTTAAAATTTAGAGTTTAATTTTAGTGCATTACAATTTAAAAATGTAATGCACTAAACTTAAAGTAATGTTTTGTTAGCATATGTTAGTAAACTTAGCTTTTTTAGTTGGAGTAGGATCAATGAAAGTGATAATGCTCCAGTCACGATAAATTGCTTCATCAGTATACAGGATCCTACGATCTCTTTGTTTCTGGGGGCAACCGAATAGCCAAAGAAATGCCTTTGGGTGACACCAGTAGGTTACTTAAGGGAGTAAGCAACTATGTAAGAAAGGGAAATGAAAGACAAAGCAAACATGAAAAAAAAAAAGGAGGGGTGGGGGAAAAGAACAATAAAACTGTGAGGTGCAAGAAGTGAGAATTGGAAAGGGGAAGTAAACATCATATGTTCTCTATGGGTTTCTGTTTATTTTATGTTTTAATGCTTTATGTTTTAAAATTACACGATGGAAAAAAAAGGCCACGATTATATCAAAGGTCACACTGTAATAGGGTAGGGTGACCAAGAGTTTTGTTAATGTGTAAAAATAAAGTATCCCACATGAATTTTCCTGTTGTCATCTAGTCCTTGATGGCAAACACAAATTAATTGTACTTCTGTCTACACAATGGTTTGTGTAAAGCTGTGGCTAAAACCTAAAGGATACATACGTGTTCAAGGTGGGAATTCTCAAGAGCTACAAAGACGATTCATGGCTAAAAACACAAGGTGTGCTTCAACCTGTAAGTTCAAAGACACAGCATCGCCATAAACTGGCAAGGGGCAGGGGGAGGAGAGAGAGAGAGAGAGATTAATTCACTGCAGTTATGCCAAAGGTACTAATCAGAGACCTCAGGAGACTTGAGAGTTTAATAGCCAGATGAGAATCCCTGAACTGAGCTGGATTTGAGACTATTTAATCAATCCTGCTACCTGTGTTATTTGACCCAAGGATAAACCCATTCCATTTGACCTCATTCCTAAATCTCTGCTTTGGGTGCCAAGAAAACTTGCAGCCCTTTGCCACAGCCTAAAAAAAGTTTTCTCAGAACAAGCTGGAGAACCTCTGACAGCTCAAGAGAGCAGGTCTGAAGAAGGCAAAGCTTTTGTTTGGAATTCTCCACCTGTCCGCTCATTACACAGGCCCCTTTTCTAGGTCACTCCCACCTTGCCTCAGGTGTGGGGCCTGAGTTTATTCCCAGAAGTCTCACTGAGTTTCCTGTAGAAGTGTTGGTTGAAAGGGATGTGGTTTTTTTTCTTAAGGTATTTATCTTACAGACCCAGAATGTGTACATTCTAATGGTGGAATTTCAGAACCTATGGCAGGGACTTTTCTTGCACACCCTGAATCATACAATATAGCTATTTATGTGCTCTACCAACTCTGTTCGACTCAAATATTAAGGGCCTATTATGCAGGGCACTAAGCCAGACTGCTTATTATTATATTGCTATTATTCCAATATCATTCCAATTTTGCTAAATATGGAAAACTGAATATTAAGGACTAATATCCAATCTGATCAAATCTAGCAGTATCTAATACATTAAAATAGAAACACTGCACATGTTCAAAGCACTTAGCATAGACTGTTGGTGAGAATATAAAATGGCACAGCCACTATGGAGAACAGTATGGAGACTCCTTCCTGGGCATATATCCAGAGAAAACCATAATTTGAAAAGATACACACACCCCAGTGTTCATAACAGCACTATTTACAATAGCCAAGACGTGGATGTAACCTAAATGTCCATCGATAGACGAATGGATAAAGAAGATGTGGTATATTTATACAATGGAATATTAGCCATAAAAAGAATGAAATAATGCCATTTTCAGCAACATGGATAGACCTAGAGATTATCATACTAAGTGAAGTAAGTTAGACAGGCAAAGACAAATACCATATGATATCACTTATAGGTAGAATCTTAAAAAATGATACAAATGAACTTATTTACAAAACAGAAATAGACTCACAGACACTGAAAACAAACTTATGGAAGCCAAAGGGGCTGGAGGGATAAATTTGGAATTTGGGATTAAGAGATACACACTACTATACATAAAATAGATAAACAACAAGGACTTACTGTATAGCACAGGGAACTATACTTAATATCTTGTAATATCCTATAATGGAAAAGAATCTGAAGAAAATAGATGTATATATGTATAACCGAATCACTTTGCTATTCATCTGAAACATTGTAAGCCAACTATACATCAACAAAAAAATAAAAATTATTAAAAAATCATTTCGCATAGAACTGTCTTAGTAAATTAGAATTACATTTCTGTTCTATGTAAAACCTAATAAGAAACATAATGAGGGCTTTAATTCTTATATCCCGTAAATTCTGTCACACTCATAAATGAGTTATGATGTGATATTTGATATAAAGTTTAAAAACTCATTTTTAAATTTCTATCAAGGGGAATTAAGAATTGAACTATCAAAAGACCTCATTATAGGTGACTCTCTCCTTTGAGACTGTATGATTGCCTACTTTCTATACATACAACTGCATCACCACGAGGCTTCTACATGTTTCCATAATTTAGGTTTCAAAATTTAAAAATTAAACTGTTAATGTTGTCATATAGTTATTGCATATCAAAAATGCATTTTACTGGATATAAATTGGAAATAAAGAGAAATGAAATTATTGTCTATCTCCTACATAAAAAAGCAGACAATTTTAAAGATAATTTTTATTATAAAAGATACAGAAAATCACACGAAACAAATATATGTCTTAATTATTGTCAGATGGACATCCTTTATAACCACTACCCGTTTTCATAGAATTTGCCAGCCACCCCAGAAGTTCCAAAAGTTCCTGTATCAACCACCTTCCTCCTCACAAAAATAACCACTCTCCTTTTATAGTAAACCACTTCCTTGCTGTAAAACAATGACTCCAAAACTGGGTGGCTTGAAACACCTATTTTATTATGCTCATGGATCCTGTGGGTCAGGAATTCAGACAAGGCATAGCAGGAATGTTCCTGATTTGTAGTGTCTGCTGATTTCCAAAGTGTGTAAATTCCTACCCTGGCCAACATCAAGCTACTCGTGTGACGTCACTGAATGTGGATTTGGGGGAAAATACTAACAATTTGCTGCTGTGAACCAGTACAAACTGGCTACGGCACATCAGTGTCTCTGCTCCACAGTGTTTGAGCTGGGAAGACTTAGTGTCTGGAGGCTGGAATCATCCAGAAGCACCTTCCCTCACAGGTCTGGGAGTTGATCCTGGCTGTCAGCGGGGATCTAAATCTCAGCTAGAGTCCATCCACCAGAGCACCTGTGCATCACCTTTCCGTGTGCCCTGGGCTTCCTCACAGTACGGCAGCCTCATAGGAATCAGTTCAGGGTTCCAAAAGTGAATGTCCCAGTGAGCAAGGCAGAAATATTGTTTTTTATGACCTCGCTTCCACTGCATTCTCTTGGTCACAGGTGAGTCAGTAAGGCCAGCCCAGACTCAAGGAAGCGGGTCATATTTGCGAGGCATGTTGAAAATTTTGCAGACATGCTTTAAAATCCCCACACTTGCATTTCATTATAGCTCTATCACCTGAATGTTCCTTAGCACTATAGTTAAGCATCCCTCTTTTTTGTTTTTTAATTTGCTGATTCCCCTTCTATCTGTTTCTCCTTCTTATATAGTTCATCTGTTGAAGAACGTGGGTCATTTGACTTGCAAAGTTTCCCACAGCCTAAATTTTACTGGTTGAACAGTCATATGCAGTTAGATGTGTTCCACTCTGCCTGCAAGTTGGCAGGAGCATTCAGAGGCTTGTTCAGGCTTAGGTTCGATCCTGATGGCAAGGCTACTTGGGTGTTGTTGCTTCTTTCATCATGAGGCACATCTATGTCTACTTGCCTCTCTTTTTGTGATGTCAGCAGCTGTTCATACTCAATATCTGGATCCCTTCATTCATAGGAGGTTGAAAATTGTAATACTCGAATCCTATTATTTCTTTTTCTTTTATTATTTAGAATACTTTATAAAGAGATGATTCCTTTCACCTACTATTTGATTACACAGTGGTATAGTTCATACTGTACAGCAGGGATAATGATTGACTTTTCCCATTTATTTGCCAGGTTTCAAGATAATGAATTGGCTTTTATCATCTTCCAAAGGTGACTGATAGATTTTTAAATATATGTGTATATATATATATATATATATATATATACACACCATTATGATCACATGAATTGAAACATGTGATATGTTTCAATCCATTGCAATTATTATCCTTTTACATTTTCTTTCCTTGAGTACCTTAAATATGTTACTCCATTTTCTTTTTTTCTTTTTTGTTCTGGCCATGCTGCACAGCTTGTGGGATCTTAGCTCCCCAACTAGGGATCGAACCCAGGCCCCTGGCAGTGAGAGCGCCGAGCCCTTACCACTGGACCGCCAGGGAATTCCTGTTACTCCATTTTCTTCTGACATAAAGGATTGTTTCCAAAAGGTCTGATGATAATCTAATTTTTTTTCACCTAGAAGTCATTTGTTCTTTTTGTCTAGATACCCAAAGAAATTTTCATTATTTTTTCTTTAAATTCCAATAGTTTTACAAGAGTATGTCTTAGTGTTGGTAATTCTGGATTGACGTTCTCATCTGCAGTGTGTTCTTTCAATGCATAGTTTCAAAGCTCTTTTTTTTTTTTAATTTCAAGGAAGTTCTCTTGAATATAGTTTGCAGTATCTCCTCTGTCTCCTTATCTCCTCCCCTGCTTTTTCCACAAAGGCTCTTACTGTTTCTTCAAGGGCTGGATCTCCTTTGCTTATCCTCAATATTTGCCACTTTCTCGCTAACCTTTTTTAATCTCTCTTTATTGATTTTTGAAAATTTTTTTCTCCTTTTTACCTTCTGCTT